CAACAGCATGCAACACGCCTTATAGCAATCCTTGTTTCTCATACTGCATTGCACTCGGTAACAACATTGACAATAATCTAGCAGCAATAGTGTGTCAGAATGCAGTATTTGTCTAGCCTGCAGTGGCGTACTCTAAAGCGAGTACATCCCAACTTAGGGTTTGCTATATGCACTCAATTGCTTGCTAGTGCAACCCCTCCTTTCTGCTGCTAAACTTTTGCTTACCTTTCGACATGCTATCAGAGCGCCTCCTTGGCCTGTTGGCTCACCAACCTGCTCCCACTGCTACTCGTTCTGTCGCACGCCCCAGGGCGTGCGATGTATTTTTCCTCTCTGGCGCGCGCCCCGAGGCGCGCGGCCCCTTTTCTTCGTGGCGTGACGGCCCCGCTGGACCTGCGCGCCGCACCCCGTCGACCCTCGCGTCGCCTCAGGGGACCCGCGCGCCGCCCCCGTCGACCCTCGCGTCGCCTCAGGGGACCCGCGCGCCGCCCCCGTCGACCCTCGCGTCGCCCCCGGGGACCCGCGCGCCGCCCCTAGAGCCGTGCGCGACCCCCCCGCTGCCTCGTCGCGGCGCCCTGGGGAGCCGCGCGCGGCCCCTCGCTGCCCCGTGGTGGCGCCCTGGGGGCCGCGCGCCGCCCCCCTCGCAGTCCCCCGCGCTCCTACCCCGTGTCACCCGTTTTAGGGTTTGGGGGTGGGGAGTGTGGGGGTGGCGGTTGTGGGGGTGCCGGTTGTGTGCGCCGTCCCCTGCTCCTCCTCCTCCTCCGTCTCCCGCTGCTGCAGCTGCCGCTCAGGGGGGTGGGTGTGTGGGAGCCGAAGGAGTGGTGCTAGGGGGGTGTCGTGGGAGTGGAGCTAGGAGTGCAGCAGGGGGTGTGTGATAGGGGCGTGGGGCAGCTGGGGGAGGTTGAGTGGAGGTGGCCGTCGTGTCGCCAACAGCGCAGTAGTCCGGAGGCTACAATCTCCGGTAGTCGCCAGTCGCCTGTGGGTCAGTTGCTCCAGTCAGGAGGCTACAATCTCCACGGAGCCAGTTACTCCGGTAGTCCGGGCCCTTGCTTCGGTAGCCACTGAGCCAACAGCTCCTGTGTGTCTGCAGCTTCAGCAGTCGCCTCCCATCTTCTCGCCCCCACAGTCTCTCCTCCTCCTCACTTGCCCTCTGTTATTCCTATGCATGCTTGTTGTGCTAATTACACCCCACTTTGGCTATGGGGGTGTGTCAGAATGCAGTATTTGTCTAGCCTGCAGTGGGGTACTTTATAGCGAGTACAGCCCAACTTAGGGTTTGCTATATGTACTCAACTGCTTGCTAGTGCAAACCCTCCTTTCTGCTGCTAAGCTTTTGCTTACCTTTCGACATAGTACACACAAGTACCTGTTAGCCGTGGCATTAAACATTTAAATTGTAAGATGGGTTATTGATGTTGGAAATCCGAATACAGTATAACGAATACTGTATACCAGTGTGCTGTTTGGTTTTAGTGTAGTCCCCTCTATAAGCCTCCATGATAAGGGGGGGGATTTACTGTTCCCTTTTGAACAGTACTTTCCAACTCACCCTTATCCTTATCCTCCTTGATTTCCTTGTGCCATCTGGCACTCTACTTCTCTTGCTTCTACTTTTGGTCTCTCACGTAGCACTTTCCATCATTAGATCATGCATGCTATATCAAGCTTGCTTGTATTGCCCAACATCCATCAAATTCTCAATCTGTTTCCAGTGCAAGAGTTCTATCTTGTTCTTTCTACAAACACGTTTCCTCTACGCTGGCACTATGCCTTTCTAGCATGGTATCAGAGCAACTCTAGGGGGCATGCTGCCAAATTTGGTCTATAAAGTTGCTGGAATTCCCTTCGGATAGGTACCTGCAAACGCTCAGAGTACCAGGCACCTAGTATACGCTTTCGTACACGTGGTCTTCACTTCTGAAGTTATCTTGCGCGTGTAGCGCACACCTGGTGTACGGTTTGATCATGGCGCAATTCGATGACGAAGTGGATGCTGGATATGCGGCTTTTGAAGAAGCCATCTTGGCCCAGCATGAGCACCTGGAAAACATGATTTCAAGGGCACCACCAGCACTGCAGGCATCACTGCGAGCCAAGTTCAACATGCCAACAACCGCACACTCGTTGAGCAATCCGTCCACTCATGGACAGTCGCATTCAAGCACTCCTCGTACTAACCAAACGCATGCTTCCAATGTCGTTGCAGGAATTGATGGTGAAGGGGAAATGAGCATACCCCAAGGAGGAGAGTCATCCCAAGGGAGGGATGCATCCGTCCAAGGAGGGGGGAGCGCCAATCCCGCACCTCAATCATCCATGCAAAGAGAAGCGCGGGGGAGGAATGATGAGTATGGGAACGCATTATATGGTGGAATGAGAAGTGGACAGATTGGCCAGCAGAATGACGGAAATGGTCAAGTGGGCGTGGAAGGTGTGGGATTTGCCTCCTACACTATTGGTGCTCCCCCACTACGACGACTTGCGACTAACTCTCATCCCATTGGAGTTCTTCCCATGCCCAGGTCTCACCTTCGTGGCGACAACATCATCCCTCCGCGTGCACATCGTCCACCAATTAGCGCACACTCTGTGGGCAGCATGGGGCGGATGGGGTACGGAATGCAGTCAAGTGGTGTCATGCGACGGGATCAAGTGGAAGTGCTGGAACGTCAACTTGGTGGACAGAATGGAGATATGCGGCGCACGGTACAGCTACCTCGACCGTCAACCATGCCTACTCTCTTCGACCCCGCACCACGTGAATATACGGACGAAGACAAGGAACGACTGTCACGCAAAATGGTGGGAGCAACGGTGGACAAGGCATTCACCACCACTCCGTTTGACGGCTCAAATTTCCGCGAATGGGCACTACGGTTTCGTATGAACGCCCGCGTCACGAATCTGTGGGAGTTCTTTGTGACCCTGCAGTATCCGGTTACCATGGGAGATGGTGACATTGACGACGCTATGGGGCGGCTGGAAATGCTACAGGCGGATTACTCCCAGCGTGCGGCACTCGCCTTTTGGGTCCTATTGCACAGCGTGAGCGCCACGATTCAACTACAGCTAGACATGTTCCAGGAATCCTACAGCCCGGCTTATGAAGCATGGGAGTATTTGATGGACACTTACCAGGCCAAAGATTCGGTGGCGAAGGTCTCTCTCATGAAGCAGTTGGACAACCTGAAAATGGGGAATCAAGAGAGGGTGGAGGAGTATGTGAACCGCGCAACGGCGATTCGGGACAAGTTGGCGTTGGCGGGAAAGATGGTGGATGAGGACACATTCACCTTAAATCTGCTCACCGGACTACCGGCACATTGGGAGGAGATGAGGCACTCGGCAATGCTACACAACGTAACGGACAGCTTCACTTTGCAGCGGATGATGATTCGAGAGCAAAGATATCAAGACCTCATTACCAAGGCGAATCGTGACCGGCGTCCACCTCGCATGGCTGGACAAGCTCGTGGAGATCACTCACCTTCTCCACATGCTACGGGAAACATCGGAAATGATGAGATGGGTTCGGCGTGGTCACCAAAAGAACGGCATGGGTCAGTTGGGGAGAAAATGCAAGGCAAGAATGGAGGTGCGGGTCGCTCAACTCTCGTGTGTTGGTACTGTAAGGAGCCAGGCCACCCCTTCTACAAGTGCACCAAGGCACCTCCAAATTGGTCACCACCAGGGTGGGAATCTCCTACCCGAGGGAGAACAAACCAACGCAGCAACTACAACCGTTCGTCCTCTCCACGAAGGAGTGGCAGTCCCAAGCATGACCAAAGTGCGTCACAACAACAAGGGGCAGCCGAAGGAGACAACAAACGCACCATTACCTGCATTGCAACGGTGCGATCATCACAAGCAACCTTACCCTCGGCTGGAAGGTCTTTCTGGCTGCTAGACAGCGGATGCAGCCAGCACATGACTTCGGACAAGCGCTGGTTTGAAGAGCTGAAGGAGCTGGCCGACCCTGTGAATGTGGAGCTTGCTGATGGAAGCCAACTGCGCAGCACGATGATGGGAACGGTCAGGGCAACGGCACCGGATGGGATAACAGTTCGCTACACTGACGTTCTCTACGTACCCGGCCTGAAATCCAATCTCCTCTCATACTGCCAACTGTACAAGAAAGGTGCACAGATTCGTACGCGTACCGACGGGCACACAGCGATCACAATGGCGGATGGAGATGAGCATGTGTGCATTGGACTTGGGATCATCATGCATGGGGTACTCATGGTGGAGTATGAGCCTGCACTTACATCCGCCCATGGTCCTGGTCCTTCCCGTGATGATGCATCATCGAAAGCGCATGGTGGTGAAGGGGACACAACTCTCTGCACACTGGGAGTGCACTTCGGTACACACGGAAGCTCAGATTTCCGTACACCTGAAATACACTTGAGTGGCCATTCTGCACACGCATCTGTCACATACCGCATGGCACACAAGCGTTTGGGGCATCCGTCATACGCTTCCATGGATGCCACATTTCGGAATGGTGACATTGAAGGGCTTACCATTTCTGACAAAACCAACCCTCTGAAGCCCCCGTGTGACTCTTGCTTGCGAGGAAAAATGACCAAAGCCCCTTTTCCTACAGGAAATGAGAAGCGGTCAAGTCGCCCTTTGGAGCTCGTGCACAGCGACATCATGGACCTGGGTGACGCCCACCCCTCACTTCGCTACGTCCTGACGCTCAAGGATGACTTTACCAACTACTTGTGGGTGGCGCCGCTAGTTCGCCGATCTGACATGCAAGCTGTCTTCACGGCATGGCACCGCGAAATGAAGACTAAGCTGCCTACAAAGCCGCTGGCTACCCTGCGCACGGACAACGGGGGGGAGTATACAGCAAACGCCTTCACAGAATATTTGAGTTCCCACGGCGTCATCCACGAAACGTCGTTACCGCACACTCATCCACGAAACGTCGTCATCCACGAAACACCCCTCAGCAGAATGGAGTCGCGGAACGGGTTAACCGCACACTCATGGACAAAGTGCGGACCATGACTACCGGGGCCAGCCTCTCCTCCACCTTCTGGCCGTACGCGCTTGAGTACGCTACATGGTTACACAACCGCATCAGCTGCAGCAGCAACCCATCTGCGCACTCACCGTACTATATGATGACGGGGAAACCTGCGGACGTGTCCATGGCACGAACCTTTGGCTGCCTCTGCTATTACCTTCCTCCACAAGGCAGCTTTGGCAAGTTTGAGCAGAGAGGCCGAGCTGGCATGTTCCTCGGCATCTCCAACGTTCGGAAAGCGTGGATCGTGCGGGACATGGCAAGTGACGTGGACACGGACACTCGGTCTGCTCGCTTCTTTGATGACCTCATGTTGCCGGACGCAGAATCTCTCCTCGAACGTCAACGCTATGTCGATGAAGTCTCACCCCACGTTGCGGAGTGGACTTCACGGGGAGAAGAAATTGAGCATGAGTTCGATCCTTTTCCGTCCTCCCCATCCTCTTCCGCGTCATCAACCGATATACCAACTGGACACCAAGTATGCAGTACCCCTGCTGGAGGAATGGACAAGGACTCACCTGCAGCCGACGCAGCTGATTCAAGTGGAGCTGCAACCAATGACATACCTGCGGCAGGTGTTTCTATTTCAGAGAACGGGGACGACCATGGCATGGAGAACGAGACATGTCACCTTTATGACTTTGCCTACCCACCTGAAGGAATTCCACTGACCGAACAAGGTGCACCACAACGACGGGTTCACTTTGATCCGACTGTAACTGTGCTCGGAGAAGAAGGGCAAGCTGCGCACCGCATAACAGGGCTGGACGTGCTACTTGGAAAGCGTCAAGCAGGGCAAGTCATGTGGACTAAGGAAGACATGCCACAAGGAGTCAACAGCGTTCCCAGCTTACAGCAACACGTGTTGGGATGTGCAGCTGCGACTGTGCCCATGGTCGACCTGACCTACAAAGAGCCAAAGTCACTCAAAGAACTGACCACGGATCCATACGCACCTTTTTGGCAAGCGGCAGTCAACGCGGAGCTCACCAAATTTGACGAGCTGGGAGCGTATGAAGTGGTGGACAGGGCGGACGTACCAAAGGGAGTCCCGGTGTTGACGGAGGGAATTATCTTCAGGGTCAAACGAGATGACAAAGGCCAGCCAAGCAGGTTCAAGGCACGGTGGGTGGTGAAAGGCTGTGGACAGACGTGGGGAACATATGATGAGACATACGCCCCGGTCAGCCAAGGACCTACTTCACGCATGTTTGTTGCAGGCGCATCAACAACGAAGCGGAAAGTTGTGCAGCTGGACATCTCCAACGCATTTCTTTATGCACCAATTGACAGAGATGTGTACGTGCGACCACCTGAACCTCGACGTGATGGAGACAAGGTTTGGAAACTCAGGCGCAGCGTCTATGGGCTGAAACAAGCACCTCGATTGTGGCATCAACACTTACGAGGAGTACTGCTGGAGCTGGAAATGATGCAGTCGGAGTCTGATCCATCACTGTTCATCTGGAGGAGGGCTGGAAAAGATACGGTGTGGCTGCTCACTTACGTGGATGACATCCTCATTCAGTCTAATGATGAGGAAGGCATCCAAGCAGTCATTCAACACTTGAAGGACAACTTCACCTTGACCGTCAACTCGACCATGACACAATTTCTGGGTTTGAATGTTACTACTTCCCGCAACACCATATCATTGGGACTCACCAAGTACATCAAACAAGCGTTGGCAAACTATGGGATGGAGGAGTGCCGCTCTGGAGTACGAACACCGATTTCCAAGGAACCTGGACCTCAGGGGGAGTCACCTGAAGAGGTGGACAATCAGCGGGTGATGCAGCAGGTTGGGGCGCTGCTATATGTCTCTACAGCAGGAAGGCCAGACATCACCTTTGCCACGCATGTGCTCGCCAGACAGGCCAGCAAGCCAACGGCAACAACTGTGCTCGGAATTCGGCGTGTGTTCAAGTATCTGCAGAATACGGCTGAGATTGGATTGGTTTATGGAGAGGGAGACTTGGTGCTTCGTGGATACACAGACTCTGACTATGCAAATGAGGATGGATGTCACTCGGTGGGCGGCTATGTGTTTACGCTGGGGGGAGCTGCTGTCAGCTGGAGGACGAAACGGCAAACGGTCATCGCTACCTCCACAACAGAAGCTGAGTACATCGCCATGTTTGAAGGAGCAAGGGAAGCAGCTCACCCGCGGCGACTGTGTGCCGACCTTGGCTTTCCACAGAGAGAACCCACAGTTCTTTATGTGGATAACCAGAGTGCGATTGCCCTTGGAAAAGGGGAACAAATGAGTCAGCGCACCAAGCACATGGAGGTGCGTTACCACTGGACCCGTAAAGCAGTGCGTGATGGCGTGGTATGGTTGGAGTACTGTCCAACAACCAAGCAAGCAGCCGATTACCTTACCAAACCGGTCACCTCCAAGCAGCATCTCACCTGCAGTGTTCTGAGTGGGCTTCAACCAATTCCCCCTGGTGTACCATCTGGAGACATTCGCCATGTCAAGAATGCTGATGTTGTGCTCAATTGTGCGGCCTCTTCAAGCGGTGCTGCACCACATGGCGTCACCTAACTCCACACTCACTCACGTGCTTGTAGCTGTGTACGCGGTTACGTGCATGCCTACAAGCACATGGGGGGGGGGGGGGTTGGGTGTCGAGTGTATCCAGTGGCACTAAACTGGGACATGGGGTCACAAAGCATACGGGGAAGACCTACTCACCATACGGAGAACATACACGGGAGCACAGTTTCCTGCATACCTGGTCTACTTGGTGTGCACATATCTGCATACCTACTTGGCGTTACTGCATACCAGGGGTGCATAAAACTGCTCACCTGGAGTGCACTGCAGCCTTGGCGTACACATTTCTGCACACTTGGAGCGCACCTGTCATCCCGCTTTGCGTCGAAATGTGCAAACTCGAGCTGATGAAGTTCCGCAACTCCAGCGGCTCCCATACATCTGGAGTGTAGGGGGAGCATCACATGACAACATGGGTGAAGTTCGGGCAGACTTAGCATCATCTGGTGGTGTGCATTCAAGACTTGCACAAACTGATACCATCGCATCCCGAGGCAGGGGGAGAAGGGCAAAGGCAGAGCAGGAAGCCAGGGGGAGAAACGACACACGAAGATACAGCAAGCACGGACAGGAAAATGGTGTAGCAGACGCGCAGCAGATCGTCAGCCGCTAAGCCGTCGCTTCTCCCGCACGCCGTGTACGCCTGCCTGCGCCAGCCGCACGTCACGCGTTATTCGCTACCAGTTCGCGTCATCAGCAGTCGTCGCAGGCGCACATCCGCTGCGGTGTTTTTTTGTCGTCGCACAGGAGGCATGCGAAAAAGACAGCAGCGCTGACAATCGCGTGACGTAAAGTTGACGGTTTCGGAAATTCGGTGTGCGCTAAGGGCAATCCGCCATGACGATCTACGCATTTCGCCATGGTTACGAGGAGACTTCGTCATGGAGCTGCTACTATTTCCTCAGTAGCAGCCACTACGCGCTGTATCTAGATCTGGAAAGTCGCCAGTGGAAGGAGGGATTGGAAAACATCAAGGGAGGAGGTTTGGTTGGAGTTTGAAAGCACCAAAGGCTTGGGAGGGGAAAGGTGCTACAGTGACGAGCAGCTTGGCCACCACCAAACCCTAGCTTGGTTTGGGCGCACCCCTACCTTGTGGTGATACACCACCTCGACCACCCCATCCTCCAAGGAAAACGGATTCACTAAAACCTACAGCAAGGGGGAGTGTTGGAAATCCGAATACAGTATAACGAATACTGTATACCAGTGTGCTGTTTGGTTTTAGTGTAGTCCCCTCTATAAGCCTCCATGATAAGGGGGGGGATTTACTGTTCCCTTTTGAACAGTACTTTCCAACTCACCCTTATCCTTATCCTCCTTGATTTCCTTGTGCCATCTGGCACTCTACTTCTCTTGCTTCTACTTTTGGTCTCTCACGTAGCACTTTCCATCATTAGATCATGCATGCTATATCAAGCTTGCTTGTATTGCCCAACATCCATCAAATTCTCAATCTGTTTCCAGTGCAAGAGTTCTATCTTGTTCTTTCTACAAACACGTTTCCTCTACGCTGGCACTATGCCTTTCTAGCAATTGACAGGGTAGCTTAGGTACTAGCAACACTAGCACTCATTGACTGGTAAACTACTTGCTAGGCAAATTACTACCCACTGTGCCCGTATTTCCAGAACGCGCTTAACAACTTATTGGGCTTACATTTACTTGTTTATGTACTTGGCAAAAGTCATTCGCAAGTAGGTAGGTACACTGACTACACTTCTACAATGAAAAACTCAATACTCATTTAGCAAAAGTACACGCAAGTAGGTTTGCAATGGAGAACAAGAACTGAGCGCACAGAATGCCCCTTGTCATCCTTCCACGTGACGCTACCGTACTTGAAATTCCAGAATTTCCTCTTCACCACAGCCTTCACTTTGAAACCGACCCGTTGCCCCCGGCGCTATGGTAAACTGTGATGGCACCACTCTGATGCTCACTGCCTTGGGGGCCTTGATCCTCACCCTGTAGGTCGACGTGGTGTCTGAGACGCTCGTCACAGTCCGCCTGGCGGTGATTTTATTAACTAGGTTGACCAGCGAGATAGAAGGCCGGTTTAGGTGTCTGGCTGCAACAGGTTTCAGTCTCACCTGCCCGAATGTCTCTCGGGCCATCTTAACATTCAGCCCAGCAAGAAAGTTGCGAAAATCTTGCTCCCCAGCATCGTAGGTCAGCCCAGGGTCAAGCGCCCTAGCGGGAAACACATGCCCCGCTCCCATCTGCCATGGCGTTGCTGGCTTGCCGTAAACATTCCGAATCACTCTGTTGCTGCTGTCAGTGCTGCTTGCTGTCGTCATCATTGCAGACATGATCTGCGCAGGCGTCCAATCAGGATGCTGCTGGATGATGAGAGCGGCAACACCGGCAACATGCGCCGCGGCGACAGACGTTTCATTGTAGTAAACTGAAAACGATCCCGTCTCACCGACGGCTGTCCCGGGCGCAGATGCAAGGATATTGACTCCAGGGGCGATGATGTCGGGCTTGAGGATGATGTTGGAGGGGCGGGGCTTCTTCGGACGGCAGACGGTACAGCTCTGCACGGCGACAGGGCCGGTGGAGGACCATTCAGGAACAATGGGGAGGGCGGTGGCTGCAGGGGAGATGGTGGCAGGGAGTCGGGTTCCTTGTTGTGTTGATGCTGCTAGGTCTGTGATGTTTGCTGGAGATCCCGCTTCTGCTGCAGTTGTTGTTGACGTTGAAGTGAGAGAGGCCTGAGGCACGGTACTGCATGGTGGGGGCAAGGAGGGTGTTGGCAAGCAGGGAATGGAAGGGTGTTGGCAAGCAGGGAAGGGAAGGGTGTTGGCAAGCAGGGAAGGGAAGGGTGTTGGCAAGCAGGGAAGGGAAGGGTGTTGGCAAGCAGGGAAGGGAAGGGTGTTGGCAAGCAGGGAAGGGAAGGGTGTTGGCAAGCAGGGAAGGGAAGGGTGTTGGCAAGCAGGGAAGGGAAGGGTGTTGGCAAGCAGGGAAGGGAAGGGTGTTGGCAAGCACGGCACTGGATGGAGGAGCAGGGAAGGTGTTGATGTGCATGAGATGCAAGGAGATGGAAGACGAGGGAGGAGGTGCAAAAAGAGGGAGGAGAGATGGAAAAAAGGCATGAACCAAGGAAGAAGGGATGAAAGGATAATGCAAAGCTGCAGTATGGGGAACAAACAACCTTCTACGCGGGAAACAAACTACCCCTGCCACTCCCTAGCAAGAGCTCCCCATTCTCACCTTGCCCCCACGCTGATATAGTAGGGTGCAAAGCTGTCAATGGCAGGGTAAGAAGGGTACAGGTAATCGTAAAAGGGCCTCCCGTCATCGCCCACTGCTAAGGCCACAGTCACTCCGGCCTGGAAAAGGGAGGGGGAAGGGAGAGAGTATATTTTTCAGGTGCTCCAGAATCTCGCAACAGTCACTCCGGCTTGAAGGAGGGTGAGAGGGAAACACAGGCAAGAGGAGGTGGTGAAAGGGTGAAGGGTAGGCCTCGGTGCAAGGAGTTTAGAGGCGCTGAAAAGGGTTTAAAGGGTTTGAGCCACAGCAACTCAGATGTGGATGAAGGGAGGGAGGGAGGGAGGGAGGGAGGGAGGGAGGGATTAGAGGAGGGAGGTTAGAGGAGGGGGGAAGGGATTAGAGAGAGTAGAAGCACAAGGAAAACGAGGGAAGAAAGAGAGGGATTGCTGACAAAGCTCTTTTGAGGAAGCCTAACGAGACAACTGGGTGACATGGGATGGGGTTCTGATCACATTCTGTACCAGTGTATGATTGGGTGATGCACCCACCACATTGGCACGGATACGCATGAGTGTAATAAAAGAAACACCTGGATCAACCAGCAAAGCCACTCCCTATGCGCATGCACTTCATAACCACAGGATGCCCCTCACACCCACCGCACGCCCCTCACACCCACCGCAAGAGCGCGGATGAAAGGCACGTCGTGAAAGTAGGTCCACTTCTCGTTGTCCCAATCATCCTCGTCCAAGTTTCTGTTCGTGTTGTCCAGGGACAACGTGAGCACATCCACACCGTCCGCCACGGCCTGATCAACGGCTGCAAAGACATCTGCGTCGGTAGTAATCGACTCGCCAGAGCCTAGATCCCAGTAGACCTTGTAGATGGCCAGGCGTGCCTTGGGAGCCACGCCACTGATGGTGCCTCCGCCAGGCACCTCCACGCCGCTGTTGCCCGCTGCCGCTCTGAGAGTGGAGATGCGTGGGACAGGGGAGGGGTGGTTATGGAGGGAATGACCTTGCCACGCCATGCACATGCGCTTCTTCCTTCCCCTGTCTGCCAAACCACTTTGAACACACGCAATGCCATCCCATCCCATGCAATGACATGCCATGCCATGCCATGCCATGCCGTCCCATCCCATCCCATCCCATCCCATCCCATCCCATCCCATCCCATCCCATCCCATCCAATCCCATCCCATCCCATCCCATCCCATCCCATCCCATCCCATCCCATCCCATCCCATCCCATCCCATCCCATCCCATCCCATGCCATGCCGTCCCATCCCATGCCATGGCATAGTGTGTTTATGAGACTCACCACACGGTCCTAACTTCCTGCACTCACCCGGCACACCACGTGCCATGGCCATCAGAATCGCGCGGGGAGGCCCACTCGTCGTCATGTGGGCCCCGTCCTCCATATTCGCTCTCAAACCCCGCGCGAAAGATGCCCCCTCCGATGATCTTGTTGTTACAAGCGAAGTCGCTTGTAGTGGGACACGTGCCCGTCCACCCGGCAGGGAGCGTGCTGCTGTAGCCCTGGTGGGGGGGAGGATGTGGGGTGCACGGGGGTAGCTAAGCTGGAAAAAGTGCTGGTTTGCTGTATCGGGACCGAGAGGCAAAAACGAAAGGACGAGGAATTCAAAGGGTGGGGCACAGGCGGAGAGAGAGGAGCAGCAGCAGCAGCAGAAACCCATAAGGTGAAGAGCGATGCTCGGATGTGATCGTACGGTGTCGTCAAAGGAGGGGTGCTCCGGCCACACGCCGCTGTCCAGAATTCCAATCACCGTGCCTTCGCCGTCACTCGACACTCCAGCCGGAGTGGCAGCAGCAGCAGCGGCAGCAGCAGAAGTGGCAGCAGCAGAAGTGGCAGCAGCAGCAGCGGGAGCGGCAACATCAGCAGTGCGGGCATGTGGCAGGTTGAGAGACTTGTGCCCGTCGGCGGCGGCAGTGACGGCGCGGCGGCGTGTGATGGTGCGAGAGAGTGTGACGGACGCCACAGAGGGGTGCCGCCTCATGCGCTGCACCTGCGCTGCCGTGAGGGCCGCCGAGAAGCCGTTGTCTGTGTGCACGTAGCTGAGGGGGGAGGGAAAGCGTACAAGGGGGGGGGGAGCATAGGGGGAGGGAAAGCGTACAAGGGAGGGAAAGCGTACAGGGGGAGGGAAAGCGTACAGGGGGAGGGAAAGTGTACAGGGTGGGGGGGGGGGGGAAGAATACAGGGGGAGGGAAAGCGTACAGGGGGAGGGAAACTGTACAGGGGGAGGCGAGGGAAGGAAGGGAGGCAGGCGTGCAGGGGAAGTTGAGAGGGGGCGGGCACGGAGGGCGTGAGGGTCGTTGAGAAGCCATTGGATGCGTGCAACAGCCTTCACACCAGATTGAACACACACGTCCGCTCACCTGCTGAACGTTCTCTAGAGTGTCGCTCACCTGTTACCGCCCTTTGCATGCGCTGCTGCATTACCGCCCTTTGCATGCGCTGCTGCATTACCGCCCTTTGCATGCGCTGCTGCATTACCGCCCTTTGCATGCGCTGCTGCATTACCGCCCTTTGCATGCGCTGCTGCATTACCGCCCTTTGCATGCGCTGCTGCATTACCGCCCTTTGCATGCGCTGCTGCATTACCGCCCTTTGCATGCGCTGCTGCATTACCGCCCTTTGCATGCGCTGCTGCATTACCGCCCTTTGCATGCGCTGCTGCATTACCGCCCTTTGCATGCGCTGCTGCATTACCGCCCTTTGCATGCGCTGCTGCATTACCGCCCTTTGCATGCGCTGCTGCATTACCGCCCTTTGCATGCGCTGCTGCATTACCGCCCTTTGCATGCGCTGCTGCATTACCGCCCTTTGCATGCGCTGCTGCATTACCGCCCTTTGCATGCGCTGCTGCATTACCGCCCTTTGCATGCGCAGCTGCATTACCGCCCTTTGCATGCGCAGCTGCATTACCGCCCTTTGCATGCGCTGCTGCCTTACCGCCCTTTGCATGCGCTGCTGCATTACCGCCCTTTGCATGCGCTGCTGCATTACCGCCCTTTGCATGCGCTGCTGCATTACCGCCCTTTGCATGCGCTGCTGCATTACCGCCCTTTGCATGCGCTGCTGCATTACCGCCCTTTGCATGCGCTGCTGCATTACCGCCCTTTGCATGCGCTGCTGCATTACCGCCCTTTGCATGCGCAGCTGCATTACCGCCCTTTGCATGCGCTGCTGCATTACCGCCCTTTGCATGCGCTGCTGCATTACCGCCCTTTGCATGCGCTGCTGCATTACCGCCCTTTGCATGCGCTGCTGCATTACCGCCCTTTGCATGCGCTGCTGCATTACCGCCCTTTGCATGCGCTGCTGCATTACCGCCCTTTGCATGCGCTGCTGCATTACCGCCCTTTGCATGCGCTGCTGCATTACCGCCCTTTGCATGCGCTGCTGCATTACCGCCCTTTGCATGCGCTGCTGCATTACCGCCCTTTGCATGCGCTGCTGCATTACCGCCCTTTGCATGCGCTGCTGCATTACCGCCCTTTGCATGCGCAGCTGCATTACCGCCCTTTGCATGCGCAGCTGCATTACCGCCCTTTGCATGCGCAGCTGCATTACCGCCCTTTGCATGCGCTGCTGCATTACCGCCCTTTGCATGCGCAGCTGCATTACCGCCCTTTGCATGCGCAGCTGCATTACCGCCCTTTGCATGCGCTGCTGCATTACCGCCCTTTGCATGCGCTGCTGCATTACCGCCCTTTGCATGCGCTGCTGCATTACCGCCCTTTGCATGCGCTGCTGCATTACCGCCCTTTGCATGCGCAGCTGCATTACCGCCCTTTGCATGCGCAGCTGCATTACCGCCCTTTGCATGCGCAGCTGCATTACCGCCCTTTGCATGCGCTGCTGCATTACCGCCCTTTGCATGCGCTGCTGCATTACCGCCCTTTGCATGCGCTGCTGCATTACCGCCCTTTGCATGCGCTGCTGCATTACCGCCCTTTGCATGCGCTGCTGCATTACCGCCCTTTGCATGCGCTGCTGCATTACCGCCCTTTGCATGCGCAGCTGCATTACCGCCCTTTGCATGCGCTGCTGCATTACCGCCCTTTGCATGCGCTGCTGCAGCACCACGCTCGCAGCAATGAAGTCCCCAAAACTCTTCTCACCCTCACCTGCATACCATCGTTCCCCTCACCTATAGGCCATCTTCCCGGCGGCCACCCCGCTGTCTCTCAGCACGGCCTGCTGCATGCGCTGCAGCAGCTGCTTGAACGCCCTCACGCCCGGCGCCCTCAAGTTCAACCGCGGCCTTCGCAGCGAACGGTTTGTGCCCCCTGAACCGCTGGTGGCAGCAGCAGTGGCAGCAGCAGCAGCAGAAGCAGCAGCAGGAGTGACAGACGCAGTGCCAACGCCACCGTTGCTTGCAACAGAAGCCGCGCCAACGCCATCGCTGGCCTCATCGTCTGAAGCGGCGCCTGCCGCGTTGGCGTTAGGGTCGCTGTCCCAGGCGGCCGTTGCCGGGTAGCCGGCAAATCCCCCGCGATACGACGCAATGGGCGGCGCAGAGCGAAGGCGGACGATGTAGATCGCGGAGGCATGGGAGGGGGAAGCTGCGGGGGATGGGGGGAAACAGGACGAGGGGGGGGGGAAAGAGGCGGCACGGAGCGGCAGAGCAGGGGAAACATGGGGTGCGGTGGAGCGTGCGGGAGATTTGGAAATGACAAGGGAAGGGGGAGGGAAGGCGGACAAGTTGTTGAGCGTGCAGGCATCAATACAGGCAGCTGCGCGTCATTGGCTGAGAGAGCAGGGCCAGGGAGAGCAGGGCCAGGGAGAGAAGTCGAAATGGGAGTGAGTGGGGGAAGGGAGGGAGCATACTAGGCCGAGGATGTATTACAAAGGGACGCTATGAGCCTGATTTTGAGGCGTCTCAGATATAGGACGCTACGAGCCTGTTTTTGAGGTGCATCAGATATAGCATGCTACGGAGCGCAGTGGTGTAGTATGGCCGTTTGCTTACCAGCGTTGGTGGGGAGGGAGAGCGTTACGGGTATAGTGAGGAGGAGCAATGGTAGGAGAAGAGAAGCCCATTGATAAGGCGGTTTCTCATAAAGCAACGAATGCTGTTTGTGAGAAGCCATAGAGAGATTGTAGTAGCAGGGGAACGTCGGTAGATTTAAAAAGAAAATGACAAAAATGCCGAGCCACTCGGAGATATATTCTAGAGAAACTGGCTGCTATTGCGAAGCACAAAAGGGTGGTACCTCGTGAAATCAATGGTATGTAGAACGGACGATGAATCTAAAGTCTTCCCTTCTCCGCCTCACTTTGCTCCCACATTTGCTCATCGTCATCGCTCGCTGCTCTCTGCCTTGCTGGCGCGACTATGGTCGTTGAGGTTCCTGCTTGGTCGTGAGGGTCAGGTGGAATGCCTAAGTCGCAATACAGTAACAGTACGATGACTCTCAAACGACGCACGACTACTTTCAAACGAAGCACAATGACTCTCAACGACGCTGCTGGTGGTGTCATGCTTTCTTCCCTGTTACGGGTGCAGGGCTCACGTAGCAGGGTGCACATCCGGAATTTCGTCAACATTCCGGAATTTTTTGCGTCAGAGATCCGGATTTTGAGGGGTCTGAACTCAGAATCATCCGGACTCATAAAGGGTATCATCCCAAAAATCTCGAGGCCAAAATCGCGCCGAAAACGTGGGTTACCCCCAGTCTCCTTCGGGGGGTAACCCCGAAGTTCCCACCAACAGGCCCGCAGGCTACCTTTGCGCTCTGGCGACTGCTGCGAGTTTGTAACTATCGCAATTTGCATTTGCGAAAGGGATGTGGACCAATCATGTTTTACCTAAGTTCGTTGTAACCCAGGGGATAACCCAAAGCTTCGGAGAGAGCTTCGGCATCAGGTTCGGATTCTCATCTGGTTGGGAGTCAAGGCCGTTTTTAACACTGAAGTCGGATATCCAAAAATCGTACGATAGTTTCGAAGTGTTATCGCGCCTCCCAATATCGGGGAATCGGATGATGGGTTTCGCTGGGTGGCAGCGAGAATTTTTCCACCAGTCACAGCTGTCCTCGTGTCACTCCGCTACTTTCATCATGAAATGGAAGTGGTTGTTTCTATTATTGCGCTACAAATAATGACCAATAAAAAACGTACTTATTAGTATCGATTTGCCGATTCACTAAAGTGTACAGACGGAGTGTACTATTCCAATTATTGATCGAGGCGCGTACGAGGGTGGCGTCTGATTCGCTCCAGCAATCTGGGAGTGGAAACATTGCGGTGACTTGTAGGTTACCTCGGTGGGTGGGTAACCTAGAGGTCACCACGAACTTTTAGGTTACCCACAGGTATCCTATACTGAGTCCTTTGGGTTACCTACAGCGGGGTAACTTGGGGGAAACCTTGGGGTAAGTTTTTGCGAGCCCAATTTTTGGGATGATTTCTCAGAGACATCCGGATGCATAAGGGCGCTCATTATAAACTTTCGTGCCGGAATCGATTGGCCGCATCCCTGAGTGAGACTCATCTGCGTTCCGAAACAGCTGAAACCAACTTTACGATTGTCTTGTGTTTTCGCACTCACAGTGTTGGAGCTCTCATCGCCGCACCGTTGGTGGATTGGTAAATTTCGTATTAACTTCATTTGCCCTTTTGGTTGACTTGGCAACACATGAAGGTTCAGTGTTAACCGAGGTAAACTTCTCGTTTGAACAGCTCAGCCATTATCGTATCTGCCCAACGGTAAGATGGTCAGGCAAAAATGTAACAACCAAATTGGGCGTTGACGCGTGCAGACAAGGATCTGGCGAAAATTTTCAAGCAGCCCCCGCACCAGTGGTCTTGAGGTGATTCCACCTCGAGAGGTAGAACCCGTGGTGCGAACCATTTGCCTGGAGAGGAAATGGCGTTGAACAAACGGGAGGTTATGTTACAGTGTCACAAAAGTGCCGTTCTGCAGGTTTTCTCGGTTTCCTTGATGCGCCCAGCTTCGGACAATGCCCAACCTGAACCGACGCACCACTGGTGCGGATGGAAGAATCCGCGAAGGCCATATTTTGCCAAAAGAACAGCGCCCTAGTGGGCTTGTTCCATTGTTAGGAACGTTTCAGGAACTTCTATAAATGTGTGATTTTATGTGAGTACTTCTTCAAGTATGCCCTTCACTTGTAATATGCAGCAGCTATGACTCTATGGGCCAAAGAGTATTTCATAGAGAAACACATAGTCAGGGTACCCCTTAGATAGAATCCGGACCAAAAAGGGTGGCCTTTCTACGGATCTGGAATTTTACGTATCTTTACGTGGGGGCCCCGGAGGCATCCAGATCTCTAAAAACGAAAAATTAGCCCTGTACGGGTGCAATGAATCGAGGTAGCGAGGATTGCAGTAAGGGGTCAAACGAGTACAAAATGTGAGCGAAGGCATGATCGAACATTTATACACGAAACATGCAAACGGTAACGCGCTGCGTGCGAGCTAGCCAGTGCTACGCTGGCAGCGAGGCTCGGGCTAATCCCGAAGCGCAGGCTGACACGGCCGGGCCAGCAGTGCAAAGTTTGGTGAAACAGTGCGCGCGAAGTCGGCGAAGCCCCGTTAGCAGTAACGGGCGAACGATGGCTGCTGCTGTACGTGATGTTGCTGTCGAGAAAATTCCTTACACTACCCCCCCCCCCCCCCCCCCCCCCCTCCCTCAAGAAGCCCCCTCCGCTACGCGAATGCGTGTATATCGCGGAAACCCCGGTTCTTCACATACACTTGCAGGGCAGGGTGGTTTTCGATGTTGGCCAGGGGCACCCAGCTATCCTCGGTTGGCGTGCGGTTCTTATCAGAATCAGGAGGAGTAAGATACTAGGTTTAGGAAGGGGCCTAGGCTTAGGAGCCTAGGCCCAAGGAGGATCGAGGTAGTTTGTGCCAAGGTGGAGTCGAGAAAGTTGAGAGGAGGAATGATGTTCACTATAGCAAGAAGGTATATATAGCAAACAGAGCATGCAAAGAAGGTGCACCACCAACAGTTTATAATAACTACACTAAACTACAGCTACAGGCAGTTACAGATATATTCTAACACTCCCCCATAATTGCCTGCAGCAGGAGTTTGTGCATAACACAACCTGCAGGGGTATACCGACAACAGCAACAGCAGGCACGGTAACAGAGCAGGTACAGCAGCAAAGGGACAAGCACTCCTGCCACCCCTTTACTCTCCTCCCCCCCCCCCCCCCCCCCCCCCACCTCAGAGGGACGGGGGCTGGTTTGTCTCACATCCGCCACCCCAATGCCACTCCCCGGGCTCCCCCACACCCTCACACCCTCCCCCCCAGCGGCAGCTGCAGCAGTGGGAACGAAAGGAGGAGGAGGGGAAGGGAAACACACCACCCATCACCCCACACCCGCCACCCCCATGCCCTCCCCCCCACGGCTGCAGGAAGACGAAGGAGGAGGGGGTGGGCAAGGAGAAAGCCGCAGAGCGGCTACAGAGGGTCGGCGCGGGTAGGTCAGGGGCGGCTGCAGCGAGTGCAGGCGCGGGGTGAGGCAGAGGCGGCTGCACCGAGTGGAGGAGCGGGGGCGGCTGCTCCAAGGGCAGGCGCTGGGTGGTGCAGTGGCGGCTGCAGCGAGTGCAGGCGCGGGTGAGGAAGGGGCACCGCCGCGGGCGCCAGGGGCGGGTCCGCGGCGACTCAGGACACCGTCGCGGGCGCCAGGGGCGGGTCCGCGGCGGCTCAGGTCACCGTCGCGGGCGCCAGGGGCGGGTCCGCGGCGGCTCAGGGAACCGTCGCGGGCGCCAGGGGCGGGTCCGCGACGGCTCAGGGAACCGTGGCGGGCGCCAGGGGCGGGTCCGCGACGGCTCAGGGAATCGTCATGGGCGCCAGGGGCGGGTCCGCGACGGCTCAGGGAACCGTCGTGGGCGCCAGGGGCGGGTCCGCGACGGCTCAGGGCACCGTCGCGGGCGCCAGGGGCGGGTCCGCGACGGGCAGAAAAAACGTTACGCGCCACCCGGGCGCGGGACAGAACGAAAATCGTCACGCGCCCGAGGCGCGCGACCGGAAAAATAGTAGCGGAAGCGTGAGGCAGGCCCACAGGCCAGGACTGAACAAGCTCTAATGCCATATCAGAATCAGGAGGAGTAAGATACTAGGTTTAGGAAGGGGCCTAGGCTTAGGAGCCTAGTCCCAAGGAGGATCGAGGTAGTTTGTGCCAAGGTGGAGTCGAGAAAGTTGAGAGGAGGAATGATGTTCACTATAGCAAGAAGGTACATATAGCAAACAGAGCATGCAAAGAAGGTGCACCACCAACAGTTTATAATAACTACACTAAACTACAGCTACAGGCAGTTACAGATATATTCTAACAGTTCTTCCAACGAACGAGGAATTCAATCCTCCTGATTCCCGTGGGGTGTCGAATCCGATGGCTCATGATTTTTTCGGGCTCGATGATCGACTCTGATGCAGGGCGAGTCATGGATGGCGGGCGGTGACGAGACAGTTGACTTGTGGTTGAGATGTACAGGCGAAGTAGGCTGACGTAGAATGAAGAGCTGATGTACCAGACTGTCGGCAATAGTAAGTGGGCTGTTACTGGTGTAATCATGTGGCTGATTTGAAATGGTCCATAGTAGCGGGGTCGTAAGTTTGGTAGGACGAGCAGTCTTAAGTTCTGTGTGTCGAGCAGTACGTAATCGCCTGACTGGTACGTGACTAGGCGGCGGTGGTGGTCAGCGTTGCGCTTAGCGATGACATTTGCCTTTTTAATTGCTTCAGCGACTCTGGTGCGGGCAGCGTGCAAAATCTCGACGAATTGTTGTGCACGTGGCGTTAGGTTGTCCGGACTCGGCGTCATGGGCACTGTAGGGTTTTGCCCGTAGTTCAGGTAGAACGGGGACTGCTCCGTCGTCGCTGACGTGGTGTTATTGTACGCGAACTCAATCAGCGGCAGTTGCTGCTCCCAAGTTGTCGGGTCGTCGCACATGGCACGAATCAACCGTTCCATCGTGTGATTCGTCCGCTCCGTTTGACCGTCGGTCTCGGGGTGGTACGATGAGATAAACTATAGCCTGGTCCATAACTACTCCCAAAGGTTTTTCTAGAAGTTGCTGGTGAACTTCGTGTCTCGGTCGCTGATTATC